CGGTCCAGGGTAGCCCTTACGTCCAGAACCCGTACACGGTGCTCCCGGGGGTCGCCAGCATGCCCGGGGTCGCGGGAGGCGTCGCTGCCGCCGGGGTGTCCGGTGTACCCCAGATTCCGCAGATCCCTAATGCCGCCACCATCGCCGCGCAACCGCAGGTCGCCATTCCGGTGAGCTCCGGCGTGATCATGCAGCCATATAAGAAAATGAAAACCTCGTAAACGAGATGTTGCCTTGCGAGATCCGAGAGGCTGTCGCTCGCGGTGTCTCTCGCGTCACCGAGCGTTCTGGTTCCTTCTTCTGGCTGTTCTGCGTTCTCTCTTTCGATTCGTGAACGTTGCGCGTCGTTCTTTCCTGTCCTTGTCGCTTCTTGTTCCGGCGAGACGCGTTTCTTTCTTCGGTTTATTTTCCTCGAGGTGTAGCGTTTAAGAATGCAAGGAATTGCCCGCGATTGAACCGAGAGAGGGACGCCCACGTTCCTGTCCACGAAAGAGGAAGGTGTGAGTCGAGTGAACAGGGATTTTTTTCGTTTCGAGATACGACCGGTCGTGATTAGGGAGGGAAAACAAACAGGCATACATGCATACAAGTTTTTCGGAAATAGATTCGTTTTCTAGTCAGACATTGTCGGTGAACAGTGCCTTATTGAACCCGATTCCACTTGAAGCGTTTCGAATCACCCCCGAGAACCCCTAAACTGATGGTGTATTACGACGCAGAAACTTTTCGATTTACCGTTGGTTTTCGACACCCACCTTTCGTTGCGACAATAATCGATCGAGTTCCGTCACGATTTTCGGTTTCTGCGCTGCACAAAGCTGTCGGGATCGCGTGTTTCGGTTTCCTTGTTTTTCTCGCGGATATTGTTCATATCTTCCTTTACATCGTGCGTCCTTTTTCTTTAGTTGTAGAATGTTTATTTTCTCGCAAGATCGTTTTAAGTTTGTTGAAATCTTTATTGCCGGTGACGTAACTGGGACTTGGACTCCCGGGTATTTTGAGAATTTTTAAATTTGGAAAACTAAACCATCAAATTTCTAAAACGAAATATCATTGTTCCTTGTCGGCTTTTACGTCACCGGTTCGCGTCGCCCCGCGATCGCGTTCCACCTTGTTTCGAATGTTTATTTCGACTGTTACGATCAATTGAAAAAAAAACAAAAATCCCAAAAAAAAGAAGTCCGAAAGATTTTGTTAGTTGATTCAAATTTCTTCGTTTGTTTCCTGCGTTGAAATGGATGGAAACGATGCTCGGCCTAAGTCCTTGCCTACAAATCCAGAGTTTCTATTTGTCTTGGTCAAATCGTTCGAGTCCATTACTTGTTACACGAATATAGTGATTATGAACACCGTGCGCGCACACGTAGTCCATTTTATTTTATTCGCTTATTGTTTATTTTTTTCTAGATTTTAATTTTCCTCGTATAAGTTACTCTTAAAGAGACACCGGTACGGAAAGGGACAGAGAAAGAGATTTTCACGAAATGGACACCGAACAATATTTTTAAGCGAATTTTTTTTATCCGTTTTGTTTCCCCGTAAGCTGAGGACGTAGTCCTCGTTGACATCGCGATGTCGTTAATTTTATCGGTTTCGATCTCTGTCCTTTTCGTGTTTAGTTGTAGAAACTAGCTGAACTGTAACGTATGTTTCCTATGAACACCTTGCACATCGATGATGATGTTTCACACGAACGTCATCGTTTGTTCGGCCTCTTAATTCGTACAATGAACGTACACGCATAGATTGTAGCGTAGAGGTTATGTTATAACCTCCTAGTACTATGTATGTATACATAGATACAGAACGTACAGGGCGTTTCAAAAGACGATTCAGTGTAAGTTTTTTATAGGTTAGAATCTATTTATACGGTTTATGTACAATGTTAAGACTAGCTTCTAAGTACAATTATTTTAGTGAACGTGTCGGGGTCACGTAACACCTACGATGTTAAATTTTAATAGTTTTATTTTATTCTACTTACAAGTTTTTAAAACTCTAAATATTACGGTTTATGTTTCAGAGATTATTGTGCAGGATTTTTGGGTTTTAGGTTAGGTTGGTAAATAAATTTGAGGTTAGAAATTGATCAATCGATTAATTGAGAAATGTATTTTTAATCAATTAAGAAATTATTGTTTTGCTTTGATTATTTATATGCATGTAGATAGATTGGCAATATAGGGAGAGGTATTTGCAGATTTTTTGATAATTTGGTTGAGTTTTAAAATATTTGCAAATTTTTTGTAATGTTTTAACAAAATTTTGTATTGTTGGAAATTTGGAAGAAGTTTCTGAGTTTAGTGATTTAATTAAGTTTCTCGCGCTGAATATTTGCAAAATTAAAAACGAAGAATTTTTAAATACTTGATAAACTTGGAAGTTTATAAAATATTCCATGCTAAAATTTTATTTGAAAATTTGTAGATTGAATATTACTTTTGATCTCTAAAAAAATTACAAGTGCAAATTTTAATGTTAAAAATTTGTTAATTTGTAAATTCGAACATTTTTTCAGAGTTTTGTAACAAATTAAAAAATTCTGTGTTTTGGTTAGAAAAAATTTGTAAATTTTAGAGAGCTAAAGATTCGCAAACAATTTGAAGTTTTGAAATTTTAATTTGAACAATTTATATAATTGAAAATTATTAAATTTAAAAATTGAAAATGAGAAAGTTGTAAATTTATTTATATTAAAATTTCTCAGTTTAATTGCCAACCTAAAAGACCTGTAAGATGAAAGAAATTGTACACTGGTTCAATAATTTTGAGGATCTCTCTTTTGAGACGCCCTGTACCTGCCACATACGTACACACGAATATAATATAATATATAAATCTATATATACACACGCATACGAAAACGTACATAAACATTTATATTTATTTATCTATAACATGTAATAGCGTGTGAAAGAGATAGATCCTATATTATCCTGTAAGGATTCAATTCGGGGGAGTTTATTGCACGTGCAGTGAACCTTGTCAATTGCGATATATGAGCTTACGCATTTAACCGATGAGAAGAGAATCGAAACGGAAGAAAACGGATGATAAACGATCGAGAAAGCCCGTTAAACGTGCGTTTCAAAAAACGAGATCGGAGAGGAGAGAGGAAGATGGAAGACGGAGAAACGTTCCCCTCCAATGAACAAACGAAAAATAAAAAAAAAAAGAAACAAAAAACGAGAATATAGAGAAAACAAAGAGTTCACTAATTAAACGGCATACAATCGCACAATAAACCTTGAAGATAATACACAGGCATATACATATAAAAGATATATACACGTATGCGTAATTAAATAACGAATATTTGTGTACCACGAACGAAGTTCGAGCGAGCGAAGTATAGAAAGAAAAATGTCCCCGGGAGCGATTATATGTACGAAGCTGTAAGATAAGAAAGGATAGGAATTAATATTTACGTTCTGCGTAACCGTACACGTGTGTGCCAGTGATTTGAATAATAATAGCTAACGATGAAGATGAAAACACGTGTACACGTATATTATATTTAAATGTATTATAACTACTATACATACCTATATATATATACATATATATATTTACATATATACGTACACATGTGGAGGTGTGTGCGTGTATGTCGCGTATTTGACGCGTGAGCGTATGTGGACTGGATGATATAGCGGGGTTGTAAATTGGAAGATGAGGTGCAGAGACTATAGTCAGGGCTGTGTGCTTTTTGGGGATACGTGATTTTTAGGGAGATTTGGTTCAATTTTTGTGGGATTTTAAGAATTTAGGGGCGTTTTTGGGTAAGGTGGTTTTTGGAATTTTTGGAAATTGGGGATTTGGGAGATTCAGAATTGTTGAAATTGGAGATATTAGAATTTGAAAATTTGGAATTTGGGGATTGGGGATTGGGGAAATTCAGAATTTTTGAAATTGGAGATATTAGAATTTGAAAATTTGGAATTTAGGGATTTCAGAATTTGGAAATTTGCAATTTCGGGATTTGGGAATTTGGAAATTTGGAATTTGAGGATTTGGGGATTTGAAAATTTGGAATTTAGAAATTTGGAAATTTGGAAATTTGGAATTTC